AAAACAAAATGACAGCAACTAAGTCATACCTGTCAATAATTACATATCTGACAAGGGACTTACCTCCAAAATTTATAGAAAACTCCAACAACAAAAACATTAATAATCCCATTAAAAAATGGGCAAAAGATATGTATGGACACTTCACCAAAGACAATATTCAGGTGGCTAGCAAATACATGAAAAAATGCTCATGATCATTAGCCATCAGAGAGAAGCAAATCAAAACAACAATGAGATATCATCTCACCCCAGCACTAATGGCAAAGTTCAACAAGACAGAAAATGGCAGATGCTGGTGAGGATGTAGAGAGATTGGGACTCTCATACACTGCTGGTGGAACTTTCAAATGATACAACCACTGTGGAAAACAGTATGGTGATTCCTTAGAAAGCTGGAATTAGAAATACCATTTCACCCAGCAATCCCATTACTAGGTATATATCCTAAAGAAGTGAGAGTCAGGGCAAGAACAGATATATGCACACCCATGTTCATCACAGAACTATTTACAATAGCCAAAAGATGGAAACAACCTATGTGCACATCAACAGAAGAATGAAAACTGTGTTACATACACACAATGGAATACTATGCAACCCTAAATAATAATGTGGAATCTGCAAAATACTGCATAACCTGGATGGACTTGGAGCACATTATGCTGAGTGAAAGAAGTCAATCAAAGATGGACAAATATAATAATAATATTATTATATATGATATATATATAATAATATGTAATAAATATAATTATATTATTATAAAAAGTCAAAGAAAGGTTTATATATGGAAGCAAACTTTCTTTGTTGGTTACCAGGGGTGGGAGGGAGGGAACACTGAAAAAACAAACAAACAAAAAAAGAATGCATTTACCCACGTCACTTTAGTTTTGTCCATTTCACTGTATATAAATTATATTTCAATAAAATGCATTTAAAAAAAAAAGATTTACAGCTTTGGAAACCCAAAGGGGGTGGCCATGAGTTGGTATTGACTCAATAGCAGTGGTTTTTGTTTGGGTAGTCTCTGGGTGTTACAAATGGCTAAGTGCTCAACTACTAGCCAAGCCCTAAGTTTGGTGGTTCAAACCCACATAGCGGTATCTTGGAAGATGGGTGTGGCAGTCTGCTTCTGAAAGATCAAGGCTTCGAAACTCTATGGAGTAGTTCTACTCTGCACACACAAGGTTACCCATGAGTTGGAGTCAACTCAACTACAACCAACAAGGTAATTCCTGGTACTCAAAACAGCATAGCTTTTATTGCAGTCCATTTAATATGAAGCAGAATTCTCATGGGTTTCCCTAAGAATGTGTCTTACGGCATTCACTAAAATTTTTTCAAAGAACAAGTATTAGCAAATAGCTCCAAAAAGAAAGAAAAGTGCATCACCATTTCTGTAACTTTCTCCTTAGGTTGCACAGGAATATTTTTTGGTTTCACTGACAGTTCCTCAAGTGCTGAGACTATGTCTCTTTCTGGTGTTCCAAAACTAGCAAAGTGCCTAGCACAGATTGTGTAGTTGAAATATTCTTGCTGTTCAGAAAAAAATCAAAGGGCTCTTACTATGGCATAGTCTCACTTTAGTTAGGGCTCTGCCTATGTATCTGATGAGATGAAATAGATAAGTTTTCAAAATAAACAGAGGTAAAGGTCAAGAAAATTATGAAAAACAATTAGGATATTTACATGGTGCTCTGGTTACCTCTGTGCTGTTCTACCACACAATACCATAAAGGGATGGCTTGAACAAACAGGAGTTTCCAACTAAAAACCAAACTCACTGCCATCAAGTCAGATCCAACTCCTAGTGACCGACCCTTCCTTGGGTTTCCGAGGCAGTATCACTACAGAAGTAGATTGCCCTATCTTCCTTCCGAGGAGTGGCTGGTGGGTTTGAACCGCCAGCCTTCTGGTTAGCAGTCAAATGCTTTAGGTACTAATACTGTCTTACAATTTTGGAGGCTTGAAGTCCAAGTTCAAAGTGCCAGGGTCTAGGGGCTGGGTGAAAGCCCTTGAACCTTGAGAGCTCTGCCTCTTGCTCCCAGACCACTGAAGCAAGATGCCTTTCTTCACTCAGGCAGCTCCTGGCTGCTGAGGCTGACAAATCCATTGTTGACAAGTTAAAAAGGCACAGTCCCAATGTTACCAAACACAGCAGGCCACTAACTCAAGTCCAGAAGAAGTTCCAAGATTGGCAGGGCATGGCAGGCTGTTGAACAATGACTTGGCTAGATGCAGGGTTTAAGTGTGCCAAAAAGCCAGAGACCAATCCCAATGCTTTTCCTTATTTATGGGAAGCAGACCACGTCCCTAAAGCAGCTACTCAGCTAGCTGCTCACGGCAGATTCCCCCATGGATTTGATTGCCAGTCTCATCATCGGGAATAACCACCTCCAGCTGCCCAGCCACTCAACCAGGCCCAGCCAAGTCGACAACAACCTTAACTACCACACATGGTTTCGAGTTCTCACTTGAAGGATTACTTACTATGTTCAAAGAAACATATCTTTACAATGGAAAGAAGTCATCCAATCAACCAAGTGGTTAAACTTCACTATTAAGTGGTCAGGAACTCTGGTAGCTTAGTGCCTAAAGCACTTGGCTGCTAACCAGAAGGCTGGCAGTTCAAACCCACCAGCCACTCCTCAGAAAGAAGATGGGGCAATCCACTTCCGTAGTCATACTGCCTCAGAAACCCAAGGAGGGGTCACTTTGAGTCAGGGCCGACTCAATGGCACATAACAACAACAACAGTAAGTGGCAGATATGATGGAATAGAAAGCCCACAGCATCACCCATGATGTAGTCTTGTCAAAAACATTTAGTCTGAATCTAATCAAGCCTTTAGGCTGAACTTCTTGATATACAGATAATGTAGGGAGTGGCGGAACAGTAAGTGACATCATCAGGAAATAATCAGATATATCTAGAATGCAGAAAATCTCTACAAACCAACTGGTCTTATCTCTTAAAAAGTCCATGGAAAAAGAAAAAAGTTGAGGCATTTTTCTAGAATGTAGCCAAATGCCAAATGCAATGTATGAATGAACCCTGACTGACTCCTACTTTGAAAGAAAAAAAAAAAAAACTAGTTATAAAACACTTTGGGGAGACAATGGGGGAAATTCAAATATGGACTGAATATTTGATATTAGCAAATGATTATTAATTTTCTTAGGATGTAAATGTTCCTGCACTTATGTAAGATAATGTCCTTATTAACAGAAGGCACATGCTAAAGCATTTAAGGTGAAGTTTAGTGGTGTCTGTAATTATTTTCAAATGGTTTATCTAAATATATATATGTTGTTGTTGTTGTTGTTGTTGTTGTTATGTGCCGTCGAGTTGGATCTGACTCAGATCCGACTCATAGTGACCATCCTTGGGTTTCTGAGGCGGTATCACTACGGAAGTAGATTGCCCAAGCTTTCTTCCGGGGAGTGGCTGATGGGTTTGAACCACCAGCCTTGGTTAGCAGTCAAGTGCCTTAGACACTACACTATACATATGTACGTATGAACACACAAATAAAGATAAAGCAAATATGACAAAATAAACAATTATTGAATCTAGTGGTGGGAATACTGGTTTTCATTGCACTGCTCTTTTCAACTCTCTTTCATGTTTGAAACTTTACCATAATAAATGTTAGAAAATACAAAGGCAAGGTAACAAGTGAGCTATTCCTCTCTGCCCTGAATGGAAATGTCTTTCTATTGCACTTAATATTGAAAATAAATTATAAAATTCTTGTCCTAAAGCATCTGTGCTATAAATGACCAAAGGCTACAAATGACACAAACCCCCCCACCTAGAGCAGTTTCTGGGGACACTCGCTCTACTGAGAAAAATGCACAGCCCTCTAACGATTTGGTATCATGTCTAATGTCCTTTGAGAGTCTTATTATTCCTACAACAAGAATCCTATCAGCACATAGCCAATCAATCGCTAGCTCTGTCTAGTATTTGTTTATTTTACCATTTCATTTTCTAAAAATATAAAGTAAAACCCATTATCTTGTTTTAGTTGGACGTCAATAGAGAAATACAGAAAAACAAAGACTCATCAGGTATAGCTATTATTCAGCCTTTTCAAAAGTTTGACTCCATCCTTTAGAAGTTCAGTTTTGAAGGGGTAACTAGTACAGGAAGGTGATGAGAATCACACAGATTTCTAGGAAGTATATTTTCCTTCCCCCTGCAACATCTGCTGGGCCTCACATGAGCACTCATACTTAACCCAGTCGCCCCCTGCCCATGGGAGCTGATTTATGCAAATAAACACATTAACTCTAAGAGCTACTGCTTTTCAGAAAATAGTAATGGTTTTTTCTCCCACATCATATAATTGAGGGTCTTCAAACCGGCAATAAAAATGGCTTTGGCTAAACTTTAAAACTTATGATGCAGTTTCTGTACAAATATAACTTAGTCATTTGATATCACTAAAGTTATTTTTTGGTGTTTTTCATAATGAAGGGCACTAAAGCATGTTTTATGCATTCTGGCTACTCCATTATCCTTGCCGTTGGGGCAGCAGATAAAAGCAAGAAATAACCCAACTCCACAGCATAGACTTCTATTTCTATCTGAACCCTTCTGGAAGGGCATTTATTTGAAGATAATTGATAAAAACAGAGCTTTTCCAGAAGTAGGCAGTAAGACAGAGAAGCACTACCCCACGGTTAAAAGTTTGCTTTACTTAGGAAAAAGACAAATGTGAGTTTGAGTCTAAAAATTAATTCAAAGAACTATCAACTAATTGGTTCTCTCCCAAATAAAAAACAGACTAAATGACACAAACCCCCTACCTGGAGCAGTTTCCGGAGACACTAGACAAACTAAAACAGAAAATGAAGTGAACTCTAATACTTAAAATATCTAAGAAAATGTTTCCTTTTTATTTTTTTTCTTTTGGAAGAAAGGTAAGTTTCAGTAAGAGTTCAACCTTATCTAAGAGTATCTAAAACCGACAGGGGTTGGAAAAGTCTTACCTAGGTACAAAGACGCGTTTTCTTTCTTGACATTATCATCTAAGTAGGTTGGTCCCAGGGTATAAATAGGTGTGGAGCCCATTCCAATAAGAATCTGTGCGCAAACAAATAAAGCCACATAGACCCAGTGATTATTTCCTCCTGAGTCCTTCAGGCATGCAGGAGGGTCCAGAGTTGCCGTGGAGTTTCCATTCTGACACAGGCCGTCGTTGGAGGCCGAGGCGTTCAACTCTTGGATCTGGTAAGGAGGCGAGATGAAGTGAGGTAAAGCGAAAAGGGCAGCCCCGACTGCGATGAAAAGTCCACCCACAGCCAGCCACAGGGGCCGCCGACCACGGCCGCCAAAGTAGCTGACGAACACTACCACCACTAGGCTCCCGATGTCAAAGCAGCTGACCAGCAGCCCCGACTCGGAACTCTTCAGACTGTAGCGCCTTTCAATGGTGGTGATGACACTGCTCAGATACCCAGAAACCATTAACGCCTGGATGAAGGTCAGAAAGCACATGCAAACCAGGAAGCAACGGGAATCAGTGAGGACCACGTAGAGACATCTTCTCCCCTGTAGCGTGGCCAGAGTGGAGGACACCGAGACGGTTTTGCTGACATTCACCTTGTGGTAACAGTCCACGAGCCCCACCGTCCCCACCGAAGTGGACTGGGCAGATGGGCTAGAAGGCAACGGGCCAGGGCCTTGCTTCAACTCCTGGTGGCCCAAAGAATTCGTATAGCTGAGGGCCAGCTTAGCTTCTATACACGCAGGACTGAGGTCTGGTCGGCAGGAGGCGCTGTTCAGGACCGGTAAACTCTTGGACCTAAACGTCTCTGACTCGCACTTCCCTTGGACAGCTCCCTCAGTGGCCAGTGCCTCCAGCTGCTCTCCCGCCCGGGGCTGCAGCCCAGTTCCTTCGTCCATGGCTCTTGTTCAGATTCAATCCCTGATCACATTCAAAGATTCTGGCGCTTTTCATCCACTGGCACAGGGGCCAAAGCCGGGAATAGACACTCGTGCCCACGAGGGACAGGGGCTGGGGTTGCAAAGCCAGGACGCAGAGCGGCGCAGCAGGGCATCCTCACCACCAGGGAAGCACGCAGGACATCCTGACCGCAGACGAGGTCTCAAGGTTCCACAACCGCGTGCCCTGCAGGGCAGGAGTCCGTGAGGTCCTACGATGAACCCTGCTTGGCTTCCACCTCCGGGCGGTAGCTCGCGGCGGGCGCCGTCCGCGTCCCGGGAGCATCCCCTCCTCCGCCGCCGCTCTGCCTGCCGCCCGGAGCGAGTATGTCCCGCGCCCAGCGTGGAGGCACTTAGCGCCGCTGCCTGCGCCGCATGCTGCCCTGCTGGGCCAGGGGCTTCTGGTCCTCACTGCCTCGGCTTCTGACACCCTTCGGGCGCGAAACTGCCAATCTGCAAAGGAGAGAAAGAGCTGTCAGCGAAGATCCGCTAGGGCTGGGGCTGAGTCTGGTGTCCCTGGAGCCCTGGGGGCCGGCTCTGGGTGACCCGATGGCCCTGTGTGGGGCAGAGGGCGGAGGTGGAGGCGCAACCCTAGAGAAGATGGTAGCTGCCGGCTTCAGCCTCCAGTCCTTGAACAATAAGCAGCAGGCGATCGGCAAAGACCCTCCCTCATTGTCTGCTGCGGACCTGCCCCCGCCCCGCCCCTTTTTCCTTTAACAGCGCATCTGCTTTGCTATGTTAATAACTATTAACCTGGCAGCTCTGACTCAGAGTCAGTGTCTTTTATTACAGTGAACTAATTGCAACCTTTCTGTACTCCTACTCCATTTCCCAAAATAGAAAATGCCCGAAAGAACAAAGGAAAGTTTTTTTTTACAAACGCACAATGCATTCTCAGTTCCTGTTATATATACATATATGTATATATATATATGAAAGGAAAGAAAAATAAAACCCCTACATGTGTAGAAATGTGTGTACACACTTGTGCGCAGGCCCGTGTGCGCGACTGCATGCGGATCTGTTTGCTCCATCAATTAGCAACACGTATTCAAAGCCAAAGACAGCAGCAAAAAGGTCAACTTACTTGTCTCTTTATGCCCAGCACTAAAAATAACACCGCCACCCCCCGCCCGAAAGAACTACTCAATTACAAATACCAGGGGCATTCTAGGCTGCAGCACACACTCAGTCCCGGTGCGCCGTGTCAAGTGAAACCGAAAATCAATTTGCTTTGCTGAGGGGTGAGGAAGCCACAACCAAACAAAGAGATGCCGGTACGCTGCCACAGCTGGCACCAGGAAGCCTCGGAACCCGCTCGCACACGCTGGGCCGCCGGGGAGATTTGCTATTTACATCGAGCGCTCACCGAGAGCGTGGGCCCGGGCGCGTGCACACGCGCGCGCGCGTACACACACTCACACACACTCACTCACACACACACTCACACACGCCAGCGTGTACGTGTCGGAACCTCCCGTGCGACACCGCTCCCAGATTGAGCTAAGCGAGAGCCGAAAACACGTGTTCCTCTGGGGTAAAACCCCAGCGCCAATCTCGAGGACCCCCACTGCACTCCTCCGGACCCGAGGAAATGTGCACCAGGTAGGAGAGGCGAGCCGGGCAGCGCTGCATGGGTTTTCAGTCTCCGGCGCGCCTTTGTGATGCTGGTGAGGAAAGAAAGGGGCAAGGATAAGGGAGAAAGGTGGGGAGGCCGGCGGCCACAGGCAGCCGCTCAGCATTTCGCTCGGCTCGGTGGTGCAGGACCCGGTCCCAGATTCCCGGTCTGCGAGGAGCTCACCGCTCCGGGCTTCCCCGACGCCAACTCACCAAGGCGCCTTCCCGGGGAACCCCACCAGCGGCCACGCGCAGAGCCTGGGAATTCCGGCAAACTCGCTCCCCGCGCCTGGGGCATCTGAGCCTGGGCGGGCACCTGCTCAGCAGCGCGTACTCGAATGGATACAGAGCCCAGGAAGGAGCTCTAGGAGCCTGCGCGGAATTCCAGGGACACCCCCTTTACACACACACACAGCCCGCGGGAGGAGAGAACGCCGCTGCCGGGGCTCACGAGCTGCCGCTACTCACTGGGGAGTCTGTCGGTGTGGCTGGTTGGCTGAGCGTGGAGCAGCAGGAGGTGGGAAATGTAGAGATGCAGGAGTAGGTAGCAGCTGCCTGCGGAGACAGCCTCAGTCCAGCTGCCGAGAAATCAGTGAATGAGACTGTGACTCAGGGTGAACTCTTCCTCCCACCCGTCGCCTGTCACCCAAACCTCTCTTCTCCAAACAGACACACGCGCAGAGAGGCGCGCCCGGAACCGAGCGGCCGAGGGCGCAGGCGCGCGGGCAGCCGCCCAGCCCAACCCCAGTCAGAGTCGCTGGGCTGCCCTTCACCTGCTGCCGGGAAGAGCGAGGAGCACTGAAGCCCTAGAGGAGCGGTGTCCAAAAAATTCAGCTGCTCAGGCAGTGAGCCTGGTCTAAATAAAGAAGTTATTTCTGTTCATTTATTCCGATCTGTCGGCACCCATCATGTCTCAGGTACCACAGAAACTTCTGGGGACCCAAGAAAGACAGGATCCCTGGACTGTCTAGTGGGAAAAATGGCCATGTAAATTGCTTAAAATAATTATACGTAGATGTGCTACTGAAAAATCTAATATCCATTGCCCTGTTAGATCTGTATAGATCTTTCCACAACACACACACACACACACACACACAGCTCTTTAGTGTGCATTTTGCACCAAGCCAGGGGCTGGGACTACAAAGATAAACTTCCGCTTCTACCCTCTTGCAGTTCACAGCCCAGTGAGAAAAGCAGATAAGGAAATCCAAAGAAATACCCACTATAATCCTAGGAAATGTGGTGTGCTATAGGAATAGGGAGCTCTGGTGATGTAGTGCCTAAGGCACTTGACTGCTAACCAGAAGGCTGGCGGTTCAAACCCACCAGCCACTCCTTGAAGGAAGATGGTGCAGTCTACTTCCATAGTGATACTGCCTCAGAAACCCAAGGAAGGGTCGCTGTGAGTCGGGTCCAACTCGAGGGCACATAATGACAACAACAATAGGAATAGAAAGGATATACGACACAAAGGAGACTTGAACTAGAGATATGGACTAGGAGTCACCAGCCCAAAAGTAGCACAAGAGTGGGTGAGATGGATAAGGAAGATTATGCAAAGTGCAAAGAGATATAGGCTAAGAATAGGGCCCTAAGGAACTCTTGGATATAGGAGAAGCAGAGGGAAAAATTAAGGAAGGAGACTGGAAGCAATGATCAGAGAGAGCTTTGGGAAGAATCAGAAAAGAGGAGGTCTCACAGAAGCCAAGGCAGCAGAAAGGTTTAAGATGGGACTGGTCAGATACATAAAAGGCTGCAGAGAAGTCAAATAGGATGATGCTCGAAAAGAGCCTATTAGATTTCCCACTTAGGAGGATACTGGTGACTTTTGACAGCATAGGATGATGATCTAATGAAGAAAAGGAGTTTGCTCGTCTATAGGAATCAGTGACAGTGCTGACCATCACTGCCCTACTAAGACCATTCCTTTGACCCCTGGCCTTATGAGAGCAGTGTCTCCACTTTAGAGATGTGATGAGGGAAGTGATGATGTTGTTGTTGTTGTTATGTAATTGAGTTGGCTCTGATTCATAGTGATCCTATGTACAACAGAACAAAACACTGTGCTACCCTCACAATCCTTGCTATACCTGAGCCCATTGTTGCAGCCACTGTGTAAATCCATCTTGCTGAGGGCCTTCCCCTTTTTCACTGGCCCTCCACTTTACCAAGCATGATATCCATTTTACCAAGCACGATATCCTTCTCCAAGGAATGGTCCTTTCTGACAACATGACCAAAGTAGGTGAAATGAGGTCTGGACATTCTCACTTCCAAGGAGCATTCCAGGTGCACTTCTTCCAGGACAGATCTGTTAGTTCTTCTGGCAGTCCATGGTACTTTCAGTATTCTTCGTCAGCACCACAACTCAAAAGCATCAACCCTTCTTTGATCTTTCTTATTCATTGTCCAGCTTTCACATGTATAGAAGACAATTGAAAATACTATGGCTTAGGTCAGGCTCACCTTAGTCTTCAAAGAGACATTCTTTGCTCTTCAGCACTTTAAAGAGGTCTCTTGTAGCAGATTTGTCCAGTGCAATACGTTGTCTGATTTCTTGACTGCTGCTTCCAAAGGTGTTGATTGTGGAACCAAGTAATATGAAATTTTTGACAACTTCAATCTTTTTCTCCATTTATCGTAATGCCGCTTATTGGTCCAGTTGTAAGCATTTTCATTTTCTTTATGTTGAGGTGTAATCCATACTGCAGACTGTAGTCTTTAATCTTCATCACTAAGTGCTTCAAGTCATCTTCACTTTCAGGAAGCAAAGTTGAGTCCTCTGTATATCAAAGGTTTTTAATGAGTCTTCCTCCAACCCTGATGCCACACTTTTCTTCATATAGTCCAGCTTCTAGGATTATTCTTCATATAGTTGAGCTTCTCGGATTATTTGCTCAGCATACAGATTAAATAAGTATGGTAAAAGGATACAACTCTGACACACTCCCTTCCTGATTTTAAACCATGCAGTATCCCCTTGTTCTGTTCAAAAGACAGCCTCCTGGTCCATGTACGCATTCCTCATGAGCACAATTAAGTGTTCTAGAATTCCCATTCTTTTCAATGTTATCCATAATTTGTTATGATCCACATAATTGAATGCTTTTGCATAGTCAATAAAACACAAGTAAACATCTTTCTGGTATTCTTTGCTTTCAGCCAAGATCCACCTGACATCAGCAATGATATCCCTCATTCCACGTCCTCTTCTGAATCCAGCTTGCATTTCTGGAAGTTCTCTGTCAATGTACTGCTGCAACTGTTTTTGAATTATCTTCAGCAAGATTTTACTTATGTGTGATATTAATGATATTGTTAGATAATGTCCACATTTTGTAGGATCACCTTTCTTTGGAATGGGTACAAATACGGATCTCTTCCAGTCAGTTGTCCAGGTAGCTGTCTTCCAGATTTCTTGGCATAGACAAGTGAGTGCCTCCAGCATGGCAACCATTTGTTGAAACATCTCAATGGGTACTCTGTCAATTCCTGGAGCCTTGTTTTTTGCCAATTCCTTTTGACTTCCTCTTTCAATACCATTGCTTCTTCATCATATGCCACCTCCTGAAACAGATGAACATTGACCAATTCTTTTTTTGTACAGCAACTCTGTATTCCTTCCCTCTTCTTTTGATGTTTCTTACATCATTTAATATTAAGTAACTTGGTAACTTGGGTAAAGACACCCTGCTAGTCTGTAAGGTATATGATCTTAGGTCTGTTAACTCCAAAGTCCATGCTTTTAAACATGACTCAATATTCTGTCCCTTGTAGCTGTACTACACCCAGAGTTTTTAATGCACTTGCATCTCCTATTGTCTCACTTAAGTCCACATTGAAGGCATTGGTAGCTCAGTGATGGAATCTTCACCTTCCATGCAGAAGACTCAGTTTGATTTCCAGCCAATGTACCTCATGGACAGCAACCACCCATCTGTCAGGTGAGCCTTGCAGGTTGTTATGATGCTGAAAAGGTTTCAGTGGAGCTTACAGGATAAAACAGACTAGGAAGACAGGCCTGGGGATCTCCTTCTATAAATCAGTTAATGAAAACT